CTTTTATTAGCTGTGAGAGACTGGCGCTGGCTCCTCCGAGCAAGCTCCCTGCCATGGCAAATAGAAGCAGATCCCTAACACATGTACAGATGTGCACATAATCCTTTTGTTACAGCAAAATATCTGCAAGAGGGGACTTTAAAGGCAGCAGCGGGGGGGGGGGGGGGGGGGGGGCGGGGGGGGGTGTTATACCAAACAGCACTAAAAAAATTGGTGTGCCTTCATCAATTATTTATTTATATATATATATATATATATATATAGAGAGAGAGAGAGAGAGAGAGAGAGAGAGAGAGAGAGAGGTATATATATAGAGGTATATATATATATAGAGGTATCTATAGATCCATATCAATTGCCCTATGAAAATTAGAAATCTCTTTCCTCTAACACATTGATTCTCAACCTTCTTAATGCCGTGACCCCTTGATACAGTTCCTCATGTTGTGGTGACCACAAAACATAAAATTATTTTCATTGCTACTTCATAACTGTTATTTTTCTACTGTTCTAAATCATAATGTAAATATCTGTTCTGCAGGATGAATTTTCACTCACTGGACGAAATCTGGCACAAATACCCAATACGGCCAAGTCTGAATACTGTTGGAGTTGGGAGGGGGTTCATTTTGTCATTTGGGAGTTGTAGTTGCTGGGATTTATAGTTCACCTACAATCAAAGAGAATTATGAACACCATCAACGATGGAACTGAACCAAATTTGGCACACAGAATTCCCATATCCAACAGAAAATATTGGAAGGGTTTGGTGAGCACTGACCTTGAGTTTTGAGTTGTAGTTCACCTACATCTAGAGAGCACTGTGGACTCAAACAATGATGGAGCAGGACAAAATCTGGCACAAATACTCAATATGTCCAAATGTGAACGCTGGTGGAGTTTGGGGAAAATAGACCTAGACATTTGGGGCTTGTAGTTGTTGGGATGTGTAGTTCACCTACAATCAAAGTGCATTCTGAACCCCACCAACGATAGAATTGGGCCAAAGTTCCCACACAGAACCCCCATGACCAACAGGAAACACTGTGTTTTCTGATGGTCTTTGGTGACCGCTCCGACACCCCCTCGTGACCCCCTCAGGGATCCTGCCCCCCAGGCTGAAAAACACTACTCTAGGAAATCATGCCATAAGGTGCCTTTGCTGTGTTAGCTATAATAGGCTAATGAGGGCCACCCGACTGGAATTTGTCCCAGACATTCGGCATAGTCACAGGGCAACCACCCAGGATTCAAGCTGAGCCAGAACTCATCCAAGTTTAGCCACAGAACTTGCCATGGGAAGGAATGAGCTGATGGCTTTGTGTGTGGCAGTGTCTCTTCCTTGAGCCACGGCATTTGTTCTCTCCAGCAGCAACATCTGGTGTTAGGAGAAGGCAGTAAATCTATACAGGGCTCTGGAGAAGGAGAGGACAGCTTGGAGCCTTGAACCCTTTTGATTACCTCATGTATGTCCAACACAGGAGTCAGATTTTAATCAATCATGTACAACCTGCTACTTTAAGAGATGTCTTCCGGCCTTCCGTACTGGAAAGCTGGAGCCTTGTAAAAATTTGAAAAATAACAAAGGGCACTGTTCCCAAACTACTCTGAGAAGAGTGGAAGGCAAACAGACAGGAGAAGAAAATGCCTCTTAGGTCTCCCAAACAAAAATTGACTATACTATTATGTAACTTCAAATCAACTCTGACTTATGGTGACCTTATCATAGGATTTTCTTGGCAAGTTGTGTTTGGAGAAGAGACTATGATTTGTGCAAGATTCCCCTCTAGACTTAGAGCAGCGTTTCTCAACCTGGGGGTCAGGACCCCTTGGGGGGGGTCGCAAGGGGGTGTCAGAGGGGTCACCAAAGACCATCAGAAAACAGTATTTTCTGTTGGTCATGGGTTCTGTGTGGGAAGTTTGGTCCAATTCTATCGTTGTTGGGGTTCAGAATGTTATTTCATTGTAGGTGAACTATAAATCCCAGCAACTACAACTCCCAAATGTAAAGGTCTATTTCTCCCAAATTCCACTAGTGCTCACATTTGGACATATTGAGTATTTGTGCCAAGTTTGATCCAGATCCATCATTGTTTGAGTTCACAGTGCTCTCTGGGTGTAGGTGAACTACAACTCCAAAACTCAAGGTCAATGCTCACCAAACCCTTCCAGTATTTTCTGTTGGTCATGGGAGTTCTGCTTGCCAAGTTTGGTTCAATTCCATCATTTATGGGGTTCAAAATGCAATTTGATTGTAGGTTTGCTATGAATCCCTGCAACTACAACTCCCAAATGACAAAATCAACCCCACCAGTATTCAAATTTGGATGTACTGGGTATTTGTGCCAAATTTGGTCCAGTGAATGAAAATACATCCTGCATATCAGATATTTACACTACGATTTAGAACAGTAACAAAATTACAGTTATGAAGCAGCAACGAAAATAATTTTATGGTTGGGGGTCACCACAACATGAGGAACTGTATTAAGGGGCCGCAGCATTAGGAAGGTTGAGAACCACTGATTTAGAGTGTGTGACTTATCTCAGTTCCCAAGTGAGTCTCAACGGATAAGCAGGGATCTGAACTTTGGTTTTCTTGAGGCCAAGCCGAGCACTCCAAACATGCTAGCAATCAGAAAGGCATATACAAAATGAATTCCCCCTGTTCCAGATTGGTTAAATGTCCACTTTGATTGTTTCTTGCTGACCCACTGCATATTAAGGAGCATTTAACAGAGCTAGCCCTGAATAGGTTTCCGGCATTTGCAGATACCTAACTTTACGCAACAGGGGAAAGTTTAATAAGAGGGAGCTAATGGACTGGGGACTTAATACAAACGAGTTACCCATTACCACCTCTTTATCGCTTCTTCCTCTTCCAAATCTGGTGTTAAACAGCAGGGAAGGAACAATAGCATTCCATCAGTCTTTCATATTATGTTTAGGGACAAATGATCAGAGTTAGTGTAGAGTAGACATGGGCAAACTTGGGCCCTCCAGGTGTTTTGGACTCCAACTCCCACCATTCCTAACAGCCTCAGGCCCCTTCCTTTTCCCCCTCAGCTGCTTAAGCGGCTGAGGGTGAAAAGGAAAGGACCTAAGGCTGTTAGGAATGGTGGGAGTTGGAGTCCAAAACACCCAGAGGGCCCATTTTTACCCATTCCTGCTATATAGGTTTATTCAGTACTAAGTCGCACTGATTTTCCTGGGACATATCTCCTGGAGAGTGTGTTTTCATTCTTGGGTGGCGATTCTAAGGGACCTGAGTTCAAATCCTTGCTCAGCCATGGAAATGTCCCCTTGGTGACTTTGGTCAAACCCCATTCTTTCAGCCTAAGGCAATGAGAAACCTCTTCTGAATCAATCTTGCCAGGATCGGAGGGGAACATGGAGACACATGGCTCCTTCAACACACATTTCAAGTTCAGCTTTTCAAGAAGCTGTGCTATTTAAACATTCTGGCTGCTAACTATGTCACCATAAGTGGGAACGGGCGCACGATCCACACACTCCAGACATCCAGAAGTCTCTCCAAGAGCCAAACTTCCCATCTGGATGCGTGTGAATCCGACTTAATCCCGTGCTGGGTTCACACCTTCGCAACACTCGAACAAGGTCTTGGAGCAAAGCATTTACCAAAAAGGGACCCCAAGGAAGTTGTGCCTGTCTCGACACTCTGGAACAGTTCAAGGCGAGGAAGGACGCTTTCAGTGGATGAAAACACAAGCCCACAAACTTTGCCACTATCATGCCGCACCTTTGCAAAGGTCCATCTACACCAGGCATGGGCAAACCCTAGACCAGAGGTTCTCAACCTTCCTAATGCTGCAACCCCTTAATACAATTCCTCATGTTGTGGTGACCCCCAAACATAAAATTATTTTAGTTGCTACTGTTATGGATTGTAATGGAAATATCTGATATGTGGGATGTATTTTCATTCATTGGACAAAATTTGACACAAATACGCGGTAAGTCCAAATTTCAATACTGGTAGGGTTGGGAGGGATTGATTTGTCATTTGGGAGTTGTAGTTGCTGGGATTCATAGCTAACCTACAATCAAAGCGCATTCTGAACTCCAGCAATGATGGAATTGAACCAAACTTGGAACACAGAGCTCCCACAACCAACAGAAAATACTGGAAGGATTTGGTGGGCATTGAACTTGAGTTTGGGAGTTGTAGTTCCTCTACATCCATAGAGCACTGTGGATTCAAATAATAATGGATCTGGACCAAAGTTGGCATGAATACTCAATATGCTCAAATGTGAACACTGCTGGAGTTTGGGGAAAATAGACCTTGAAACTTGGGAGTTGTTGTGCTGGGATTTATAGTAAACCTATAACCAAAAATCATTCTGAACTCCACCAAAGATGGAATTGAACCAAACTTGGAACAGAGAACTCCCTTGACCAACAGAAAATACTTGAAGGGTTTGGTGGGCATTGACCTTGACTTTGGTAGTTGTAGTTCACCTACATCCAGAGAGCACTGTGGACTCAAATGATGGATCAGGATGAAGTTTGGCACGAATCCTCAATATGCCCAGATGTGAACACTGGTGGAGTTTGAGGAAAATAGATCTTGACATTTGGAAGTTGTAGTTGCTGGGATTTATAGTTCTGAATCAGGACAAAGTTTGGCACGAATCCTCAATATGCCCAAATGTGAACACTGGTGGAGTTTGGGGGAAACAAAACTTGAAGTTGCTGAGATTTATAGTTCACCTACATTCAAACAGCATTCTGAACCCCACCAACGATAGAATTGGGCCAAACTTCCCACACAGAATCCCCATGATCAAGAGAAAATACTGCGCCTTTTCTGGTGGTCTTTGGCGACCCCTCTCATACCCCTTCGAGCTCCCCCCCCCCAAGTGGTCCCGAGCTCCAGGTTGGGAAACACTGCTCTAGACCCTCCGCCGCCGCTATTATGCCGCACCTCTCCAAAATAACAACAACAACAAGAAGAAGAACAACAGGAGAAGTCTTACCTACGAGAAGCCCAACGAGGCACCAGGATGGGAGCATGGCACACTCCGATGCGACGCCGAGATTCTGGAAGGAAGGAAGGTATGAAGCAGAGGAGCAGAAGCGGTGTGGAAGCGATCTAATGGACTGACTCTCCTTCCATGTGCCAACTTCCCAAAGGGGAGGAAGCCCGAGCTGGGACCCCTATCCCCTGCTGCTGGGGCAAGAGGGGCGCAAGTGGGTGGCTTTCTCGCGTGGCTCCTGCCAGGGAGAGAGAAGCCCAGCGTGCCTGCGAGGCTGCTTCTTCTTCTTTTGCTGCTGCTGCTGCTTCTTCTTGTCGGGGAATGTGCCTGGGGTTGCTCTTGGTGGCTTGGCTGGATGGAGCTTGCTTGGGGGCAGCTCGCAGGTTCCCTCGCCAGAAGAGGAGGAGACTCCCGATTGGAAGGGAGAGGAGGGGGTGAAGGAGAGCAAGAGGAGGCACATGGAGCAGCGCACATTCAGCACACAGCCCTCCTCCTCTTCCTCCTCCTCCTCCTCCTCCTTGGCTGCGTCTCCACTGCAGAATGAAGGGAGCTGTAGCTTGACAAGGACTTTAGTCTCCTCTGTCCAAGAGAGCTGCTGCCTCAGCAAAAACACAGAACACAGAATCATAGAGTTGGAAGAGACCTCGTGGCCCCATCCAGTCCAACCCCCTGCCAAGGAGCAGGACAATCGCATTCAAAGCAGCCCCGACAGATGGCCATCCAGCCTCTGCTTAATAACCTCCAAAGAAGGGCTATGGCGCAGCTAGTTAGTAGCCAGCTGCATTAAATCACTACTGACCTAGAAGTCATGAATTCGAAGCCAGCCCGGGTTGGAGTGAGCTCCCAACCATTAATAGTCTAGCTTGTTGTTGACCTATGCAGCCCGAAAGACACATCTGTCAAGTAGGAAATTTAGGTAACACTTTAGGTCAGTGGTTCTCAACCTGTGGGTCCCCAGATGTTTTAGCCTTCTACTCCCAGAAATCCTAACAGCTGGTAAACTGGCTGGGATTTCTGGGAGTTGTAGGCCAAAACACCTGGGGACCCACAGGTTGAGAACCACTGCTTTAGGTAATAGTATGAAAGCTGGGGCTGGAAGCTCTGAGCATTATGCTGTTTCCGCTTCGCTCCTTTGGGAGCGCTGTTTGTGCAACACAGAACGGAACACAGATTTTATAGAAGGAATGTAAGAGTTCTGTAATGGTAAAACCTTAACCTGAGCTCTAACCCTAACTCTTATCCTAACCCTAAGTCTAACCATTAACCCTAATCCTAACCCAAACCCTAAACTTTACCCTAACCCTAACCCCTATCCTAACCCTACCCCAAACCGTACCCTAAACCGTACCCTAAACTTTATCCTAACCCTCCCCTCCTTTCTATCCTTCCACCAAATGCAACAATGAAGTATATTCCCGCCCTCAGTATGCCACTCTCCCCTTCCCTTATTCACAACAGCCATTGCGGAATGTGCATAACACTCAGAGCTTCCAGACCCAGCTTTCATACTATCACTCTGCTTTATGAGGGGAGGCTAATTTAACTAATTTAGGACACCATACAAACCTTCCAGCAGCGTGCATAAGAATGAGGAAGTACTCCATCAAGGACTTGGTGTCACAAGTGAACAGTGAAGAGGCAGCTCCCCTGTGGCCGGAATCGAGCATACCCTCATGAAGCCAGAAAGCTGGAATGTTAAAAGCTGGCCACTTGGAGTGTCTCTGTTGTCACAGTAAGAATGTCCTCCGTTGGGCATGTGGCAGAGCTCAGGTTGCATTGTAGTAGGTGGTCTGCAGTTGGCTCTTCTCCACACTCGCATGTTGTGGACTCCACTTTGTAGCCCATTTCTTAAGGTTGGCTCTGCATCTCATGGTTCCAGAGTGCAGCCTATTCAGTGCCTTCCAAGTTGCCTAGTCTTCTGTGTGGCCAGGAGGGAATTTCTCATCTGGTCTCAGCCACTGATTGAGGTACCAGGTTTTAACCTGCCACTTTTTTGGACTCTCACTTGCTGAGGTGTTCCTGTGACTGTCTCTGTAGATCTTAGGAAGCTCTTTCTTGATTTAAGGCATTGGCGTGCTGGCTGATATCTAAACCGGAGATGTCATAACCTTGGTTCTTTCACTACAGACTGCGCCTTCCTGAAGGGTGTCAGGTGGTGCAATACCAGCTAAACATTATAATTTCTCCAGCGGCGTTGGGTGTAGACATCCTGTAATAATGCGGCATGTCTCATTAATAGCCACATCCACTGTTTTAACGTGGTGAGATGTATTCCACACTGGGCATGAGACATGACAGGAACCTCCCTGCAGGATAGTAACACATCCAAGCATCCCCTGGGCAACATCTTTGTAGATGACTGATTCTCTCACACCAGAAGCGACTTGCAGTATGCAACCAAACAAAGAAGCAGACTTGCAGAATGCTGCTGGAGCATGGCCATACAGCCCGAAAAACTCACAGCAACCCAATTGATTTATTGACAGTGCATTCAATCATCGCAACTTTAAAAAGTTCCTTTTTTGGACAGACCTCTGAATGTCCCCATTAGCAGTGGCCATTACAATTAAAAACTACATAATGTGGGTGAAAAGAGAAGTTAGAATTACACTCTCTCTTTCTCTTTACAAAACACAACCGTCTTAGACATTTCAAAACTCAATACATCATATTCATGTCCGTGGTGCATTCACCAATATTAGATAAGCTTTCCCACTGATAACCTACTCTCTGAAGGGTAATATTCAGTATGTCCATCCTGTTTAGCATTTCATTGTCATAAGCTAGACTTGCAAGTTCTGGTATTCGTAATCACAATTGTGGCACCATTAGCAATATCACAAAAACCCACCTTAAAAGAGAGCAAATGGACCAACCAAAGGAACTGAATATATTATTTTGTACAATAGCTTCCTAAAACCCACCTTTGAACTCAGAGGAACTGGATATATCTTTTGCACAAGAGTTTTACATGCATTATACCATCATGTTACGTATAGAAGCTGACTGGACTGGCTGTTGACACTTCCTTCAATGTTGGCAGTGGGACAGTTTCCCTCTGCCATCGTGGAAGGCAACTGTCTAGTTTAGGAAGTGGAGTAGAGCCCATATGGCACACATAGTTCTGTCTTCCAATAGAAGGGAAGGACAGAGAACAACTGGAAAGCTGCTACAAGTATCTTCTGGCCTTCTCACCTAAGACATTGTTCTACCTGATGGCTGCCTCAGGCCTGGTAAGTATAGGCAATATTCTCAAGAATACTGCCTATGCCACATATCTCTGATCATATCTGATCAGCCAGACGTTTAGAATTTCAGCCTACTTAGCAAAACTTGGTATATTCAATCTATGCTAAAATTTCCAAGTCTGTACATAGTGATTAAGGTTGCAAAGGTGGGGGAATTCCCATACTTATGGGTGCTTTTCCCAGGGCAGCTCTGGAACCAGTTGATCATGCAATTAGGTCTCAAAAAGCAGACTACACTTTTTTCTTTTCCTATTGTTATATGGAATAACTGCATGTATAATTCAGATATCCCCTAATGCAGTGGTTCCCAACCTTTGGCCCTCCAGTTACTTTGGACTTCAACTCCCAGAAATTCCAGCCAGCTGTTTGGAATTGTGGGAGATGAAGGCACCTGGAAGACCAAAAGTAGGGAACCAGTACTCTAATGCACTCTGGGAAATCTACATGGCTTTGGGTTACTGGGAGTTTTCCAGGCTGTATGGCCATGTTCCAGAAGCATTCTCTCCTGATGTTTTGCCCACATTTGTGGCAGGGAACCTCAGAGGTTGTGAGGTTTGTTGGAAACTAGGCAAGTGGGGTTTATATATCTGTGGAATAATGTCTAAGGTGGGAGAAAGCACTCTTGTCTGCTTGAGGCAAGTGTGAATGTTGCAGTTGGCCACCTTGATTAGCATTGAATGACCTTGCAGCTTCAAAGCCTGGCAGAATCCTTTGTTGGTAGGTGTTAGCTGGCCCTGATTGTTTCATGCCTGGAATTCCCCTGTTTATTTATTGTCCTGATTTCAAAGTTTTTTTAATACTGGTAGCCAGAATTTGGTCATTTTCATGGTTTCCTCCTTTCTGTTGAAATTGTCCACATGCTTGTGGATTTCAATGGCTTCTCTGTGTAGTCTCACATGGTGGTTGTTAGAGTGGTCCAGCACTTCTGCATTCTCAAATAATATGCTGTGTCCAGGTTGATTCATCAGGTATTCTGCTATGGCTGACTTATCTGGTTGAGTTAGTCTGCAGTGCCTTTTATGTTCCTTTATTCGTGTTTGGGCAATGCTGCGTTTGGTGGTCCCTATGTAGACTTGTCCAAGAGGATCCCTCTGTCCTTTGCTGAACGTAGCATTTGTTGAATTTTCTTAGTGGGTCTGTAGAGAGTTTGTAGGTTGTGTTTCTTCATCAGATTCCCTATGAGGTCAGTGGTTCTTTTGCTGTATGGTAAGAACACTTTTCCTCTGGGTGGATCTTTGTCCTTACGCTTGTGGCTTGCTCTTGGTCTTGCAGCTCTTCTGATGTCTGTGGTGGAGTATCTGTTGGGGAATCTGAGCTGTTAGGCTCAAAGTAACCTTCAGTTGGGGGTGATTCCGCCATAAATATAGCAAAGTACCAGGCGTAAACTTCATAACCAGCAGAAGCTTACATTTGATGAGCTAGGATAAGCTTCTACTCCATAGGATGGCACGGGATTGCAGAGTCAGAACTTTAGGTTCAAAAATATTTATTGCAGGAAAATAAATACATTCTTTATAGAAAAAGTCTTGGAGCTAACTAGCTTACTAAACCTCATCTTTTAAGAAAGGTAAAAAGTCAAAAAGGTCCATGCTGCTACAGTTTTCCTAGAGAGAGGCAAAATGCGTCCTTACTGGAAGAAAGGCAGAAGAAAGTGGAAAATGGTAAATGGCTACATAGCCAGCCCAGGGCAATAAAACTTAAAGAGGAAGTTCCCTCACAGAATTCCATGGCTATATCATCAAAAGGGGGTGGGGAGGAGACAGTGGATAGCAGGAGGAGGAAAAACAAACTCCTTTTTGGGAAACATGCATAGAAAAGTGGAGAAAGGAAGCCCTCGGCTTAGCCCTGTTTCTAGCCTAGCTGTGAACTGCCCTGAGTCCTCTTCGGGGTTGAGAAGGGAGGTATACAAATACCGCAAATAAATAAATAGCTACTCATTGAGGACTGGAAACTTGCTGACACAAGAGACTTGTGCAGTCCAGGGATGAAACCCAAAAATATCCATTGGCCTGTTTAGATGGTTCAGTTCATCTTGGAGGAGGTGACGTTCGCAGATTCTTGTAAATGGCTTTGTTCCTCTCTGAGTTGTTCTCTCAACAACCCTTTGAGGTCAGTCAGAATGAAAAATATTGATTGATTGTTTCAAGATTATCAGTTCAACCAATTTTCCGGGGTTGTTGTTGTTGTTGTCTCTTAATGAGCCCTTGAACCTTAATCTCTTAAATCCCAGTCCAGCATCTCACCACAACACCAATC